CATCACGTGCACCCTGCAAATTTGCAACCCTTTGCAAGCGTTTTTTTTCCGTAGCCAAGTCAAAAAGCCTGCGTTTATCGCGCTATCTGTGGGGAATTAGTGTTAAAATTGGAAACATACATTCAATAACAGTGTTCGGACTCTACTCCGATAAGACGATTTCTTCTTTTATTGAACATTTTTTTAAAACACCCTTTCTTTCCTCTACCTGACTGACTGACTTCAAAAACTGTTCGGTTCAAAAGTCTGTCCGCCATCTGTGGGTCATAAGCGTAAAAATTAAAAAAAAAATCGTTCCCTACCAGTGTTCGGACTCCAGCTCGGATCAGTTTAAATTTACTTTGGCTTTTGAAAAAATTGGAAATCGACTCCTCTACTCCGCTTGACTTCATATCTCTTCCGTTTTTTCACTCATTTTCTGCCCCTCTCACCCCAGTTTCAGTAAAAAATTTAAAGCAAAATCTCAGTCATAAAAATAAACTCGATCATAGAAATTAGTCAATAAAGTAACTTGGTTTTATTTTGATTCATGGACGTAAACTTGGTGGATGCAGAACTTAATTTAAGTTGTTAATTAAAATTTGTGTAGAAAGAAATTTGTATAAGGTAGAATCTAACTGTGTATCCTTACTTTGCCTCGTGTTCTTATTTTGGTGTGTATAGAAATTATTTAAGTCATTCAATTAATGTCGAAAGCGAAATAAATAATGCAAATCCAGTATCGAAAATTTGTTTTTGGCCGATTTTTTAAGCGATTTAGTTCTGAATCGAGTTTGAAGAGTCCGAACACGTAAAAGAAGAAAATACATAGATTTTAACTATAAATGGGGCGCGCAGTGAACAAAAAAAGGCGTGAGTACTAGGTACTCATGAAATTTGATGTGTAAACATATGTGAACGGCAAAGCATAAAATTATGTTTACATATAAATATAATCTCAATCAAGTCTCGTTAGCTGTCAAATTGGTTGTGCTTGTTATTCACACAACTCGAGGAAAAGTTAAACTTCT